AAGGGATTCGCGAGCCAGGAGTTGCACAGAGATCACAGGGAGGTGTGACTGTCAGGGAGCAATTTTGTTTATGGTGTTCTTGAGGACTCTTCTTGCTTTTTTATTTTCGAGGGATTACTTATCAGCTACTGTTTCATAATTGAAAAGCAACTATCCATGACACTTTTATCGCGGGAGCTGTCTTTAAGTGTACAAAGCAGCTCATTGAGAGACCCTGCTTAGGGCCTTATCGTCAGATTCAGTAACGATATAATATGTAGAATTTGCTTGATTTTTTGATTCAAAATAATATTTTCAGATGATGAGGCATTTGAAGACATCGATTTCGAATACTACAAAATGCGAAAGATGCGGTTGAGCGACATCGTGAAGCGCCACAATGCATCCATGGTTAGTGAAGTAAAATCATAAGGAAATTCTAATAATATCGTATTTCTTGTTAAAATTACAGTATTATCGTCGCTGTTCGTGCAGTGCCTATGCACGGCATTGAAAACAGGACCTAACGGATTTGTTGCGTAGGAAGGCGGCTGAGTAGGTACTGAGCTACGCCGCGCGTGTACAGGGGGCCAAAAAAAAGTCATTCCGGCCGAGTCACATATGAGCGAAGTTTTCGCAGCCCAGACAGAGGAAGTGGATATGAGTACCAGGGCGGAAGATACCCAAGATCTTCCTCTATAAGCAGGAGCCGGCTGCCGCCATTCACCTTCATGTACACCAAAATATGAAGTCATCTCCAGTCGCGGCCTGAGTGGAGAACGCCTTTGGAATTCACGTGGCCTCCAAACAGCTGCGGAACTTCTTGAATGGAATCACCCATGGATAGCTACCTGGAGACAAGTACTCTTGATCTTTTGCAAGACCCCAACATCGAGCAGCTCCGGCAACGTCGCTACGGTCCAGGACATCATCTTCACCCCATTCACCAAGGCGCGGGTTGATGGTGTGGACCGGCCGTACCTGGAATGGGAAGACCGATATTTTCTTTGTAGACCCCGACTGAAGGTGAGCGCTGGCGGTTACATCAAGTAACTCGAGAAGGATATCCTCCCTACATGTGGTCGCCCGTACCTTCTTGGAGACCTTGTGCTGCTACAGGTTTGGGTGCCACCACATGGAATCGAAGGGTTTTGGAAAAACTCCCGCCTACTTCGAATGGAAGGGCGTTTCGTACCTGATGAAGATGTAATATTGAAATATGTCCCCTGACCTGAATCCCACTCAATTACCTAGTCGGGCGGAGCTCAACAGGGTGGTCTACAGTGGCGGAGAAATCAACGATCTCGCTCAACTCCGGTACCACTCACTTTCGCGCGGCCGAATCTCTCGATGGCGCTCCTCCAGAAGGCTGTGGCGGAGTATTATTATAGTATTTAATGTGCTCTTTAATATGGTAGTAAAAATGTCCGATAAAAATTTAATAAAGTGTAACTTATAGCGCCTTGAAAGTCATGGAGGCAAAATGACTTTTTTTTGGCCCCCCTGTATCGCTGTCAGCGCCTATCTACTGCTAGGGTGATTCATACTCTTAACAGTGACCATCAAATGACTGGGCTGTCGAACAACATATGACGGCATTACATCCCTTAAAAAACCACGTTTGATGGGGCAGCGCGGAACAACTTCTTCCTTTAAGCCATTCAAGGGCTGTACTTACTGTAATAAAGTAGAAGGGACCACTATTACAATTATAAGTAGAATTTGATGGTGAAATTACTCAGCACAAATTATCTTGAGCTACAATTTCAGACCGACCAAATATGCGCCCTCTATCGCCACATAAATAAGGTAGCAGCACCGGGTGAAAACTTCGCCGTCGTGATGGACACCATGAACAACACGGAAATCGATGTTGGTTTTTCACTTTGTTAATTCGTTTACTTTTGTAGGGTGTTCAATTCCACCAACGTAAATAACTTACAACCAGAAAAGCCAAGCAATACTTTGCAAAAAACAAGTTAAAATCAATGAATAGTAATTGAAATGGATGTATAGCCCTCAATTACTTAGCACTTAATTAGCGTGTAGCCCTGATGTGATTGAGTGTAAAAAATTAGAGCTGAACAAAACTGAACCAAAACCCACCTAAAATGATACTGATGAGAAGAATGCTGAGGCGAGTGACCGCGGGGGGAAGGGGAATTTTTCTCATCGATTTCAAAGAAATATTGACGATAACGTAGACCATCATGATTGAATCGCTTTGTAGATCAGGACAAGCACTAGCAGTTGGCCTTTGTTAAATATTCCAGTAGAAGAGGTTTTCAATATAGAAAAGTATGATACATAGGGCGCTAGTCGGTCCCTTCTGAGCATGCGCCATGCTTTCTACTTCAGTTCACAATAGTAGGATTCATACGGAGATTCAGTCCCACTCAAATGAGTGACGGCATGCCGCGAGTTGAACTTTCAGTTTGCGTGTCTCTCACTTCGAATACCGCTCGAAAAACCTATTCATTTCAAATAATCGCCGTCTTTCTCTATTGAGCCCAGATTAAGACTTATGTGTTTCTGGTTTATGAGACAGCAATTTAGGCATGTTTGCGAAAACCAGATGATGCAACTCGTATATCCTCAAGTGGACCACATGCGCGACTCAATATTAGAGCCATGACCAAACTCCACCAGCCTTCAGTTATATGGTGGCAGCACGCTACACCATATTTGAATTTGTAGGCATGATCTGAGACTTCGAACTGGTGCGTGGTGATGGAAGGTGGGCCACAGAGGGCGAGGAGGGTTAGAGCATAAGTTAGCAGACGTCCCGGAACGACTGGAGCTCGAGCCCTAATAGCTAGTCGCGACAGACAGTTTTTGGAGAATATGGGGCGCGAAGATGGACACACAATTGTGGTCGAGCATATTGGACCTTTGGCGCCAGGAGACCACCGAAACCCATGTCGCTCAACTCTCACTGAGACGACACCGTAGTTGACATCCGAGCATATGCTTGAGTTGTCGCCTCACGCAGTCAATGGAGAAAGATATACCTGGGCACTACTGGTCCAATCTTGTCGGATAGCAACTACCGATAGTGTAGCGGGTCTGTGCTCGGTTTTCTCCGCAGCTCTCAGACGAAAAGAATTGGGGTAGGGATTTACTGAATGATAAGTATCCATTAAACGGCACTCCTGCAGCACTAAACATATAACGAAGACGCGTTGATTTGTATGAACTTTGCGAGTCCCTGAGCAAGACTTATTGGGAGTCGCTCGGAATCGCATCAAACGATTCATCGTGCAAAATTGTGTATCACTTGGAACATCAGTCCGACTGTTCCAACATATTACGCATTGGTTCAAAAACACACAAGTGCGTTTTGTCTGGCGATAAGAGATGAGGGACTACCTCCTGGTGAATATTGAAATCGGATACGCATGCACTACTGATCAAGACCAGACCTACATGAAAGCTTCATCATGTGCAAGTGGAGGACCTTCGGATAGAGTCAGCTGGCTTCTCACAAAGCTCCTATCGCCACTGCTTAAACATGTGGCTGCTCATTTGGTCAACGTAGGAGAGTTCATATCAGCTTTGGACCGCTGTGACGTACCGGATGATGCTTCCTATGCAAGCTTCGACGCGGTTTCTCTATACACGAACGTGGACAATAACGAAGCTGTCAATTCTGTAATAGAACTTCTACGACAACACCATCAAGAAGTACAGTACACACATTCGGTTTGGTTGAGGAAGATTTACGAGAGCTGCTATTGGCCACTCTAAAATGTAACATCTTCCAATTCGATGGAACGTTCTATACACAGAAACGAGGGCTCGCCATGGGATTGAGGATATCGCCGTTACTAGCCATCGTCTATTTGGATCGCATCGAGAGAAGATCTTTGATCAGTGGAATCATATTTTACAAGCGCTACATAGACGATGTCTTTCTCATCAGTTCTACCACCGACGCGATGAACACGATGCTTCAAAATCTGAACTCGTGTGATCCCAACATATATTTTACGGTGGAACATCCTGATGAGCGCGGCTTCCTTCCGTTCCTCAATACGAAGGTACGGATCACCCATGGCATCAAGGAACTTGAATGGTATAGAAAACCGATGTCAAGGAATATCCTACTGCATTCTCGAAGTGCACACCCATTGTACATGAAGGCCAACGTGATAAGGAATCTTATCACAACGAAGACGAAAACCTGCACTAGAGAATCAGTAGAGGTGGACAGAAAAATAGCTATGATTTTGGAAGAGAATGGATATACGACGTGTCAACCAAGAACATGGAGGCCTTTCTTCGCTGCTGGAGGGATACCATTGGTATTACCCTACGTCAACGAACGAATCGCGAAGAAAGTGAACCACGCCATTAAGTCGTCTCGTCTTCCAATCAAGTTAGTATTCCGACCACCTGCGAATCTAAGAAGCTTACTGACATCATCTCGGATTTATGAAGACAAATGTGGCCGAACAAACTGCACGTACTGCACAGAAACTAAAATCTGTCAGTTACGTGGAACAGTTTACCTGGTCACATGCGAGGGATGCGGTCAGAAGTACGTAGGCGAAACCATGCGACCGCTACATAAAAGAATGGATGAACACGTGCGAGCGTTACGCAATCCGTCTACTTACCCTAAGAGCGGATTCTCGCGACATCGTGTTCTGCAGCACCAGCAAGAAGCACCACCCACTCTGAAAGTAACTGTCATACACCGCACGAAGGAAGCCCCATTGGAAAGAAAATTGCTCGAAGCGCTCGCTATCAAGCGGCTATCCCCGAGATCAACAACAGGGAGGAGCTCATGGAAGCAATGAGGCTAATAGGATAGCGGTAGTGATAAAGAAATACTGACAAATGTCACGCGCGTCACATTTCTAGCGACTTTTAGTTGCATTGGCAGTTGCGCTGGGGTAAGCTGGTCATTCCGTTGTAGTTTGATTGTTTACAGTTGCACTCTTGACATTGTATTACAGACTCTAACCAAATTGCCGTTGACGGGCAGGTCAACCTGGTTTGTATTTCGAGCAACTTAGTTGTTTGGAATTGTAATACCATGTATACTTGATTTCATTTAAGGTCTGACGAAGCTGTTAAGACAGCGAAAGCTCACCAATAAAGGTGTTTTGTGAACGAGTTCTCATTATCAATTTTCCGAAGAAGATCATATGAATCATGAGGCTCAGGGATAGCTCGATTTTAACAAAGAGCACATTAGTCAAGGGTAAACTGTATACCAACCTTCAAGAACGGTAATTGAGACAAGCGAGAAGAACGTCTGGCAGCTGTGCAAGTTTGACAACTATCGTCTCTGAGAAGGCACCGAAATGGACTTGAAGGGTGGCGAATCCCGAGTACCGTTTATTTCGAGGGTCCGCAGCTGGCATGTCACTTCCTTCGGTCCAGAGTGCAGGGGAATGGGACATGCAGGAGAGTGGTGATAGCTCGGTGCGGACTCCATTCTTCGCTTCGTGCTGCCTCGGTCAGCCAGACGCCTAACCATAGTCAAACACGGTGCTTGTCTCCTCTCACTTTTGGTTGTTCTATACCGAAGAGTGTGTTTCGCTGCTGCACCTTGATATTGACGCAAATGCTGCATCTAGAGGATGGCGTGGGCGGGCTGTGGAAGCAGCACACGGGTACTACTACCCTACAACATCTTTCTCATGAACTTTGAGTGGAGAAAGTGACACGCTGCTGTATCTGCGGACCCATTCGTCTCGCACATGACAAGCACCGTTCTCGAAGGTTAATGTATAGCTTGTCTCTGAGCCCAAGCGTCGTTTAACAAGTATTATGAGACAACCTAATGAACAGGTGGGGTGTTGTTATTTAAGCTATTCTTGCAGGCATGTGTATTTGCCTTGGAACGTGTGATTACTATGATTGATGAAAGAAAAAGGATTGGATCCGTCGTCATGGTAAGCTTTAATGGGATTGCTGGTTAATGCGTAGATTTAAGTTCTTCCCCAGCAATATGATGTATTTATTCAGGCATTTCTGAAAGAATACGATGTTGCGCGCAGATACAGTGGCAGAGCAGAGCTGTCTGCGGAGGAAATCAGGGAAGGTTACAGGCGAGTAAGGAAGGTGAGTGGGTTTCAAGTCTTATTGTAGACAACAACCTTTTCTGTGTTTCTAAGGTTTTACTGAGTGCTGAGGATATACAGGGGAGGGATGAAAATCGAATTTAATAAATAATGGAGAGCTTCAGCAAATTTCACTTCGCACAGAGAGGCGAGGTACGGGTTAGCCCATTGGTAGTGGCGTTTTTTTTTCTAATGCAAATTTTTATATGAAAGCGAAGATTCTACAATGTGTTCTATGCTGTTCGATAGATTATTTTCTGTTTTTCAAAGACAGTTCCCGCGATCAAGTGTTACTCATGTGCTAGCACATGAGTAGATCCCCAGTAGAGAAAGAAGTGACAACAGGGCACTTTGAACGAGTTTGTCGGACGTCATACGAGCCCAGTCAGCAGGATTCGTAGTGGGCCAGTTGCCGGCAAGAGTGAAGAATCGCCCTAGGTGCTTCAAGCAAAACTATGTATACACGCCACTCCTTTTGCTAGCCGTTGTCTTACAGAATTACAGTACGCGGTTGCACCGGTTGCAAAACTCACGCGTCTCTAGCTTCGTTATCTCGCCATTTCAAGTGACGAAAGTGGTATATTCTCTGCGAGTGCGGACAACGATGCCAAATGCATGGAGGCACTTCGCTGATCACACGATCGCAGGAAGTGTCCTTGAGACAGTGGAAGTGCTGCTACTACTTACTGATTTCTGCTGGTTTTTATTGCATCGGATCGCCCGCCTTCGGCGGGCGATCCTCCTTATGCGTGTGAAGTGGGTCCCCGGCCATCCAAACTGAGGGCCAGTCGGATCGCCCGCCTTCGCTACAGAAAAATTTTTTTTGCAATTCCAGAACATTACCGTTTCACATTTGGTATATACCCCCCCTAGTGGACGGTTGTGAAATTTTCGTAAAGGAGAGGGGTGGAATGCCGGTACTGGATGCTTAGTGGATGAACTGAAGTGGAAGTATATGTGTATTTGAGTTGTTGTAGAATGAATAGCAGGTAAATAAACAAATAAATGCAAAAAATTGGTAGTAAGTTATGAATTTTCGATTATGACCTCATATTCACTGCTATTCTCACTTGCCTTGCGACTATATCATCTCATTCGCTGGGGTGTCTCTTCACTTATGTTACCCGTCCCTCGCCCCCCCCCCCCTCATAGAATGCAGCCCACTCGAATTTTCTGTAACAAAATGCGAGTCGATCACAGAGCGGGTTCATCCAAACACTGCTCGCAAAAATCGATCGAATCAACCT